TAAAGTGAAGGGTGGCACCGTGAGTTAGAACTGTAGCCAATACCCGCACTTCTCAATGGAAACGTGAACCCTCCGCTCCTTGTTTTGGAAATCGATGGTCTATGGACCGGAGGGCACACCACCCGTGTGGCCCTGCAGGCGCCGAAGGAGCGCACAGCAGCCGGCTCTGACCCTCTGCGGCTCGCTCGACCTTTATTTATAAGGGTTCGCCGCTTAGGGGAAACCGGGGTGGAGAATATGGGAAGGCGTCCGCCTGGGCACTTCAATGTCGGGCCACCAGGCAGCGAGCCCCTCCCCCGCACGATCGGCCAGGCAGACGTGAAGCCACTCTCTGTGATTATGAGTCACCTCAACCCGGTCGCCGGCTCGCAGCGATATTTGTCCATCTTGTCCATCCTCGACTGTGGTGACAGCCAGCGTCCCTAAACCCTCAAGGCCCTCAAACTCGATACCTGAAACACCCCTCCAGGCCTAACCTAAATCCTAAAAAACCCTGATCTACAGCACTAAAACCCTAGACCCCCAAACCGAGACCACTAAACCCCAACCCCTAAACCCTAAACCCTAAACCCCAACCCCTAAACCCTAAACCCTAAACCCCAACCCCTAAACCCTAAACCCTAAACCCCAAACCCTAAACCCTAAATCTTAACCTGAAGCCTCGAAGGCCCCTAAAGTCCTGCTTCCAGGCCCCAGGGGCCCAGGAAATATAGGCTTTCGGGTTTAGGGTTGAGTTTGGCATTAAAGGCTTTAGGATTTAGGTTTTAAGATCCAGGATATAGGTTTTAGGGTGTTGGGGTTCTAGGTGGCGTTCAGGATTTGGGGTTTGCGGTTTCATCATAGGCCTCCGGGGCTTTTGCGTTTCGGCTCTGTGGCTTTCAGCATTTACCCTATGCCTCCAGGGACCTTATTATGGGGTCCTTAAGGGGTCTAGGACCCTAACTATGAGGTCCTTGGAGGGCTAGGGTTAGGGTTTTTATGTTGGGGGTGAGGGGATGGTTCTGGCTCGATGATTCGGCGTCGACTTCGGCAAGTCGCTCAAATTCTTGGGCCCAGGAAATAGACGGTGACTATGGGTTCCCTGCAGAGACAGGTGGGTGGTGATCCTCTGATATTCTAAGCTAAAGCTAGGCCCAAAACCCAAAACTCCGAGACCCCGAACCCGAAACCCTCATCCCGAAACTCTAAATCCGAAGACCTTGCCGGACAAAACACGGCTTTGGGGCGTGTAGTGGTTGCTTGATTAAGGGTTAATTTAAGGTTTGATTAAATTGCATCAGGTTTGTTTTCTATCCAGCGTTTTCTTTGGATTTAGGGCTTCTTGAATACAGACCCTGCGAACATCCCAGCAAGCCATTCATTCCAACTCAAGAAATCATGTGGGTGGTTGTCAAAACTTTGGTCCCTTTTTTGCATCCCTAACATACTACGGCACCTAATATTTAGGGTACCCATAAAGGGCCCTAATTTTGACAACCAAACATGTGGTCCCAGGGCCGATACTGTACTCCTGCTGGAACTCCCTTGTGAAGGCGTCAGTATCACCGACGGACGAGGTGTCGTCAAAGTTCCTCAGGTCTCGGAGATTCCCGTGTATGCTTGCTTTTTTTTGAACGCCTTTTTCCAACTCCAGAACAGATGAAATCCCTGTATGCTTTGTTTAGGGTTGAGGGTTTAGGATACCTGCTCCTATGCCTTAAACCCGAAAGTTTGTAAGCACATGCCGATCCGTCTGTGCACTTTCATCTGAGTCTAGAGAGAAAGAGACTCGTTGTTTCAATGACGACCACTCCTTAACCAAAAGCCCAACAAGACCCACCTATAAGCTAGCTGAACCCTGATTTGGGTTCCGTACGTTGATTTCCTTATACGAGGCCTCGAAAGGTAGGTTTGTTAGTGTCCAATAAGTAGATCCTCCAACCCTAAACCCTGCAACCCTAAACCCCCAAACCCTAAACCCTGAACCCTAAACCCTGAAACCCTAACCTCTTCCCGGAACCACACCCAAAATCCAAATCGAAGGCAGACACAAGATCCCTCCCACAAGCACTGAATAGTTAGACTAATATAGGGGCCCTTATGCTTAGTACTTAGAAGACGGTCTTGGGGTTGTTTCTACCATATTTATAGAAAACGCCCCCCCCCCCCCCCCTCCCCCCGCAATATAACATTGGTATTATGTTAAACCCCTGTACTAGGTTTTTGGAGGGAATCTGTTAGGAAAGATGTGGGTCAACGGTCAGACGTCTAGGCGAGGAGGAGGTGACGATCGCCTTTTGAAGTAAATCAGCTGAGGCCTCTTCATGGCTATCATATGATGATTTCCTTATACAAGTCCTTTAAAAGGGGTACAGGCACCCATTGCTACAACAGAAGGAGAAGAAAGGTTGAGTATAACCTTTTTGGTCTGCCCCGAAAGGTTGACGGCTTAGGGGATAGGGTGCTAGAAGGCTGACGTTGCTACTATGAGTACTAAGAAAGATACCAAGCTCAATCAGTTCAGATGACGAACGCCAGAATCATGTTGAAACTACTTGGCGGGGTCAGACCCTAGGATGCTTCAGGGTTTTGGGATCCATGGTAACATAGGGGCCTTAATGGTTTAGTTTTCATGAATAGTGAGTGCCTCCACATAATGGAAGGATATTCGCCATGGCCCTCCTTGCAAGGACCTTTACCAAGAACCGTATACAAGTTTCCTAGTTGAGTCTTGCATAGTGCTCGACAAACACAAACACAGGCAACGCTGTAACCGTCCCAAGCTTCTGCGTGTGGTGCCACTGCGACGGACACAAGACCTGTGCGGCAGCTTTCAGTTCTAAGATGACCGTCCCTTGTATGGCCGTTAGTACGCAATATAGGGGTCTTAATATGGGGGGGTATATTATAGAGAAATGGCAAGGACCATCCAAAAAAGTATGGGTGATTATTAATGCAGGTCCGTAGTATGTACTGCTGCAGTTGGACATGGGCTCGGTTGAAGTAAAGAAACAGCATCATAAGTTGGAAGCCGCGCCGCTAGTCCTCGAGGCTCCAATAGTTGGGGTTTAGGGTTTAGGGTATGGACATCTCAAATAAAAAGACCCCCTAAACCCTAACCCCTAAACCCGGAAGATCAAGGATCTTAGGATGGTGCTGCGTCGCCTCAGGCCTGAGTTCCGGGTTTCAGGATATGGTGCTTTGGCATTGGAGGTCTCTGAACCCCACGGTTTAGGGTTTAGGGTTTAGGACTCAAAAACCAAGAGCGCACGAGTCTCTGCAGTAAACTGGCCCGCAAGCCCGAAAACCCCAAAATGCATAAAAAGAACCCAAATACCTAAGATACACACCGTGCAAAAGAAACCCCTTCAAAGGGAGCACCGTCTCCCCGGAGCGTGCAGCTGGAAGGCCAAGGCCTAGAGTACAAACGGACACCGGTATTGATGAATGATATGGTGGTGATGCTGCTGGTAAGGATGATGACGATGATGATGATGATGATGAATATGATGATACAAAGACGACGATGATGATCATGATGGTGATGATGCGGATGCGATGGAGGTGATGCTGTCTGTGATGCAGATGAACAGCCATACCACTAGACTTGCCACAAGCCCTGGTTTTCAGTAAAGTCAGCAACAATAGATACCAGGCTGATGACGACACGGGATAGCAAAGACCACCAAACGCATTCAAGAGTCCGTGAAAACTGATCCGTCACTTCAGCCGCATGCGTAAGGTCTTTGATCCTGCCCCCCAACCCAACCCCGACATTCCAAACCCCAAGGTTTAGGGTTTAAGGTTTAGGGTTCAGGGCTTAGGGTTTCCAAGACCTCACCGCAACTACTCCCTTTGCAGTCGGCACGCATAGTCCCCGTCGGATCGTCCCTGGTCATCTGTCGGAAACGCATCCAGCCACCTGGCGCACTCAGCATTAGACGAACATAAGGGAATTAATGATTGGAAAAGGGCTTTGGGGGGGCACCTTACAATATGACTGTAATCAAGAAACCTACTATATGTTATTCGTAATTATTCAGGCTTCTCTGTCAGGGCACCCAAGACCCTTTTTCCTAAGCCCTACCCTGCCCTGCCCACCTAAACCCCACAACGCTAATGTGCAAACACCCCAAACCCTGAACCGTAAAACCTAAACCCCAAAACCTGAACCCTAAGCCCCAAACCCTGAACAGTAAAACCTAAACCCCAAAACCTAAACCCTAAGCCCAAAACCCCTGAAGCACGAAACTGACACGAAGCCCCAAACTCACCGCTGACCCACCCCAAGACTGAAATCACAGAAGAAGCCCAAAAAGCCTAGGAACAAACAGGGTGACCTTCTTGGTTTAAACGGGCTTACAAAGGGAACCTGAACCCCAAAAGAAAGAGAATAAGGGCCTACCCTACAGTAGAAGCCCAAAAAGTTGGAAACCCAATAGCCTCAATCCCTAAGAGTCATGTATAGGGAATCCCAGCACTATTTGGCCTTAATCCGGTTTCCAACTTTATGGGGTTTACTATAATCCTAGACCCTAGGCCCTAAACCTTAAACCCTAAATCCTCAATCCGAAACCCTAAACCTTAAGCCCCAAAAACCCTAAATCCTCAATCCGAAACCCTAAACCTTAAGCCCCAAAAACCCTAAATCCGAAACCCTAAACCTTAAACCCCGAACCCTAAATCCTCAATCCGAAACCCTAAACCCTAAATCCGAAACCCTAAATCCGAATCCCCAAAGCCCGCTCTGAGGTGACCATGCGACCGAGGCTCGCTTGCGTTGCTGGGGCCACAAGGATGACATTGAGGATAAGATCCTTCATGGGTTTAGGGTTTAGGGCATAAGATCCTTTATGGGTTTAGGGTTTAGGGCATAAGATCCTTTATGGGTTTAGGATAAGATCCTTTCTGGGTTTAGGGCACAAGATCCTTTATGGGTTTAGGATAAGATCCTTTATGGGTTTAGGGCACAAGATCCTCTATGGGTTGAGGATAAGATCCTTTGTCGGTTTAGGGTTTTGGGTTTAGGGGCTTGATGTTTAGGGTTTAGATCCTTCGCGGGCTTGGCTGACCAGTGGTTTTGGGGCTCCCTGGGCTGTTTAGCTCCTTGTTCAATAGGGATTATCATCATCCCTGGCTCCTTAGCTCCTCCAATATCAAAGGTTAGTTGGGGCTTGATGTTTCTCTTTTAGGAGGGCGCCGGGCTTAATGCTTCTTTCAAAGGTTTATCCCTTGTGAGCTTAGGGTTCAATGTTTCTGTTTTACCAGGGTTTCGGGCTTGATGTTTTCTCTTATAGGTTTTGGGGTTTAATCTGGTTAAAGGTTTGAGGATATAATCCGTTTTGGGTGTAGGAATAGGGTTTACTGCTCAGGGTTTGTATAAGGTGTTAATGACGGTATATCGGCCGAGTCGGGGACACGAGCGTATAAGCCTGCTGATTGCTACTCGTGACCGGTTAACATGGCCCGAATCCTGAACACTTAGTAATAAAGCTGCTGCATGGCTACATAGGCTTGGACCTTCAGAGTGGTCGACATCGAAGCGTTACTCTACGTCGTATTTCTGTGCGTATGCCCAACTGTTTGCGGAACTTCGTAAAAGAACTAGAAGTTAACGATTGCGGCTATATATGGAGTGTGGTAACCCCCCTCCTCAGCAAAACAGTCCAACGCGTTGACTCTGCTGCTACGACTGCAAACCATAACCCGTGTAGCAACCCTCATAGCAAGCCTTGTTTATAGTAGCTGCTGACAGTAACCCATAGTAAGACCTTTGTCGTGGTTCTTACAGATTCTGACAGTGATCCTCACAGTATATAGAAGAAGCTACAGTAGCAGCCCTGAAATTAACCCCTGGAATAAGCCCGTGCAGTAACCGACATAATAACCCCTAAAGCCACTCTTAATATCTCGTCAGTATATTAGCCCGTATAAGGGTTATAACCCTTCGGGCCGTACCCTAAACAAACCCTAACCCCTAACCCCTCAACCCCCTAAACCCTAAACCCTGAACCCTAACCCCTAAATCCCTCAACCCCTAAACCCCTAAACCCTAAAATCGTATAGATCCCTTTTCGGAGCCCTTAAAGGAACCCTTAAAGATCCCTTTAAAGGAACCCTAAATGGGAGTTTCCGAAAAGAGGGGACCCTAATTTGGCACCCTAAATCATAGGATCCTTCTTATGAGGACCCCAAAATCAAGTACCCCTATTTTCCTCAACCACCTAAACCCTAAACCCTGAACCCTAACCCCTAAATCCCTCAACCCCTAAACCCCTAAATCAAGTACCCCTATTCTCGGAAACTCCCAAATCGCCACACCAAGAGGCCCAGGACTCGGCAATAATCGCTCTCTGCAGCTCAATGCCGTCCTGCGCAGAGCAGCAGATCACCGGTTTCATGAGCTTGGGGTTTAGGGTTTAGGGCTTAGGGTTAAGGGTTTAGGGTTTAGGGTTTGGGGCTTAGGGCTTAGGGTTTAGGGTTTAGGGTTTAGGGCTTAGGGCTTGGGGTTTAGGGTTTAGGGCTTAGGGTTAAGGGTTTAGGGTTTAGGGCTTAGGGCTTGGGGTTTAGGGTTTAGGGCTTAGGGCTTAGGGCTTGGGGTTTAGGGTTTTATGTTTACAGGCAGAACAGCCAGAATGCAGACGCATATTTTCTTGAGCCAATGAACGACGGTAAGTACTGTTGACTAGCTACATCTTCCACAAAATACACCCCCCGCGCATCTTAGTGCAACGGTAGAGGCGAAGGCGATGGAAGGAAAGACTAGTCACTAGACCGTCGTAAGCGTATCACTTTGTGACAGCGAAAACAACTTGCAATAAAAGCAAATTATGCGGCCAATGTTTTGCGCCCCTTTGCGGTTTGTACGAGTAGGTCAGCTACCAACCCGTTAGGGCGGTGCCGATGCTTAAATCTCACTTCACTACTAACCAGACGGCATCTAAATGTCTCAGAATACCATCCCGTTAGGGAGGTGATCAAGCTCGGCGTAATGGGCCGTTGATCAAATGACCTCAGTAGATGCGGTCACGGCGGTTAGTCCTGTATACAGTTGAAGACCTCATGGACCCAACCTGACAAGAACCATTGGGCATGAGAGGTGTCCAGAATCGTGAAGCCATGTGGATTACCATGAGTAGGAATGGCATTCACCACTGAAGTAGGCTGGATGTAATCTTCGGTCATCGCAGCGAACACCGCCCATTGGTACATGTCAACGCGGTGCCAGTCCATTCGCCTGGCAAGCGCAGGATCGATGATGTTGCCGGAAAGATCGTTCCCCAACACGAAGTGCGGGTACAACAATCCTGCGACCCTGAGCTGCTCAAAGAAGTTGACAACAGTCTCACGCATCCGGACCTCTCGGTCGGAGACATTTCTCGTCTCGAAGAACACGCCGAAGGTCGGTGGATCATGGGGTCGCCGGCGATAGGTCTCGGACCACTCGCGCCTTGTGCCGAGATCAACAGCAGAGGACGGTGCCTCGCTCACTGTCCCATCCATAGTGGCATCGGGAGCAACCGTTTCCGGTGCTGGACTGCTGAAGCCTGTACCAGCCCGCATTGCATCCCAATCTGCGTCACTGATGTAGTCGGACGGATCACGTGCCACACGCCGGGGCGGCGGCATCGCAGGCTCCCGAGGGGCGCGATCGGTAGATGAGCCCGCTGCGTCTCCAGGGTTGGTCCGGATATGGACCTCGGTCGGACGATGTCTGGCGATCGGAGACCTTGTGCGATTGCGGTCTGTTGGACCCGATGCACGCTCGTCAGAGCTGCGACCTCGTCGTGCAGGAGATGCCGGAGGCTCAGGTGGGCGACGTTCGGACGCGGGTGCCGAAGTGGTCAACCTCACGTGGCCGCTCTCCCCGATGCGCTTGTCCATATAATATTGCTGGTACCGACGATAGTAGGGGGTATTGGCCAGCAGCTCGTTGAGCTGACGTTTGCCAAGTCCCTGTGCCTCAGCGGGTACCTGCAGATTTCTCTGGGTGCGCAGTGAAGGATTTGCCTTCTCGATCCTTGTCCGGCTCAGTGGCAATTGTGCCTGGAAGAAAGTAGCCAGCTCGGCCATGATCGGCAAGATTTCATTCTGCACGACGATGTATTTCTCCCCATCGTACTGCAGGATGGAAAACTCATGCTGATTCGATTTCACAGCCTTGATGAGAACTGCAATCTCATTGATGGTGTAAAACCGATCATGAAAACAAATCAGACACTCCGTGAGGAGGTCGATCTCAAGCTGGCCTGTCACCCAGAGGAGGGCAACCTTCCCGGTGGCATCATAGTAGGTGGACGAACCATGCCCTTTCCCTTGCCCTGAGGATCGGGAAGCCTCACGTTAGCGAAGCGTTGCAGCGCCTCGACAGTGTGAAAGCTGAGACCCATTTTGGCATAGTTGTGAGCGGTGATTGGATCCACACTGTATTGCCCCTGCGGAGTGGTATTGTGGAGCTTCTCCGCTCTCTTCTGCTGGTTGAGGACCTTCTGGCGGATGCCAGACGCTGTGCTTTGAATGCGTTCCCTTTCTTCTGGCCCTTGACTCTTCACGCGCTGGCGTGTGAGTCCCGCAGACGGCTGCAAGTCAATGATGTTGACCTGCCTGCCCTCTCGGGCGGCGCTTCGCCGGAGTCTGTCGGGCTCGGCGATAATCGCAAGGTCGGTCATCTCGATGAGACGACGTTGGCAACCTGGACAGGAGATCATTCCGTCGATGTACTTGTGATTGCACGAGCTGCAATGGTACCCGGGGTAGAGGATCAACTCCTGTTTAATCCAGTGCCTTGGTTCGACCCTTTGGCGAAGTCGCATCCGCTTGCCTTCCATGGATGGCCAAACGTGGATACCGATCCCAAGCGAGCCGTCGTAGGTTTCGATGAGCTGATCATCGTTCTTCCTACGCTCGATGACTTCTTCGCCGACCTCGCTCAAGGTGTCCGCCGAAATGCGAAATGGGGTCTTGCAATTGATCCGGACCGACCGGCGCCCACTCAGCGATGGTGAGATTCTCGGCGCTTTCCAGCAAGTCGAGAAAGCAGTTGTGCTGCTCCAAGGCAAATTGATCCGGACCAAAGATGTATTTGTGACTTCCATCCTTGTTCCAGCTCGCTAGAGCGGAGTCGATGTTCCGACGGAACGCCTGGTAGGCCGGATTGACCCACACAGGCTCTGCTGTGCCCCGCTGATAAGCGTAAACCAGATATCGATTGCTGATCCAATCTGGTGTCTCCAGTGCCCCGGAGCGAGTCTCGAAGAGCCGGACGCCGTCCAAGACGGCCATTTGGAGATCGATGGCGAACTCGACGTCCGCCGCCTCGCGAAGGCCTGCATTATCATCCCTTTTCCATTCTGGTTGCTGTGACATCATGACAAAAGCTCTGCTACCACTCTCGTGGAGCACGGCACCACCAGGCAACAATCCGTATCTGATGATCTCTGGGAAGTGCCTCATGAAGGTGCCGTGGTAGCCCAGTTTGCAAGCGAAATCGACAAACTCCTGAGAGAACATGTCGAATGGATGAATAGTAGGCCGAGTCGCTAGACTGGCGTCCCATGGCACAAAGGAATGCACCGCGGAGTGGATGTCAGCGAGTTCGGTATCGTCACCGAAGAGCCCTGACCAATGCCCATGGATCGCCCGAGCTCGAAGCACATCAAATTCCTGATTGTTGTGCTTCTGGATGTAAATCTCATAGCGGGCTTTCCCGTCGACTGGGGTCTTAAAGACTTCGAAGATCTGGGAGACCTTGAGTCCATTCCAGATCTGGCTAAGGGCATCGATGAACTCTTCCCAGTCCATCGAGAGGTCATTCCGACGAATCGTCACTGTCGGCGTTCTATTGCCGTACTCGGGCTTGTTGAGTGGCTTGTTGGTGAAGCCTCTGAGGATGAATGCACACTTCTTGCCAAGTGCGAAGCGCTTGCCCTCACTGAGGTTGCGACGGTCAGATGCGAAGGGCGGCAGGTCCAGGCCTGACAACCAAAATTGACCATCCCTTCCGGGAGGTGATGCTTCTGCCTTGGCACTGGCAGCGTGCTCCGCTTTCGGCGTAGGTGCCGATTTCACAGCGGTAATAGGCATCTTCTTAGGAGGCGGTGGCTGCAATGGTTCCGTAGGCTTTGCGCCAGACGATGCAGACTTCCCAGGAACTTCCTTGGGCGGGAGTGTGCCAGATGCCGACGATGAGGATGCAGCCTGCGGCACAGCAGGAGGCACAGCATGAGCCTTCGTGGCCAAAGGTAAGATACCAGTTGCCTTAGGCTCCGCGTCAGCGGGCCGTGACTTCGGAGGAACAGGTGGTTTCTTGGCCTCCTCCAACTGCATTTCCCTCATCAAATTCTGAATCCCGACGGATCCCCTCGCGTAGAATCGGGGTCGCTTGCTGAGTTCTTCTTCAGTGAGCTCCTCAAGACCTTTGAAGATTTTGTTAGACTCAGCATCCTCGTTAGAGGTGCGACCAATCTCCAGATCGAGACCGTAGACGCCGAGGGCATTCGCCAAGGCAATCTCTTCATGAGTCGCAGCCTCTTCACCGTGACTGCCGATCTGGAGCTTGGTGATCATCACAGAGGGATCCGAGTTGTCCTCAGTTCTCTGGACAACATTCTCGGCTCCAGGTGTCGTGTCAAAGAGGACGCGATCAGTGTCTGTCAGCTCCTCTGGCTCAGCACACAGAAGATCCTGACGTGCGGCCAACAACGGAGCGCTCAACACGATCTGTTCGTCATCCCCCCGGACGTCTGGCGGTTCCTCGCGCTCCGTATCAGCACAGACGTGCATGTCCTTCAGCGGCGGGACCGTGATTCTGGCATCTGGTTTGGCCAGATGGAAGTGTTCGAAGAAGACCACCTCTCGGCGGTTGGCAATCAACTCTGAGCGCAAGTCCGTCACTGCCCGATCGAAGACCGTGGCGGTGACAAGCGACTTGTACCAGGTGACAACCGCAGCCACATTGTCAGCTGTGAAGTTCGTGTGGAACTTGTCTGGTCTGTCAGTGGCGCCCAATATCGGGTTGGGGTCCACCAGCCTCACACCTGCTTCGGCCAACACTTTCGTGTGGCGAGTCATCTCCTCGTCGTACTCTTCCGGCAGGCCGTACATAAAGCCATTCTCAGGGCCTGCGATCATTGTCACAGAATTCACCCCTGGCCGGTCCTTTAGGGCGGCGATCTTGACGACATCTTCCTGAACCTTCTTGAGCTGCTTGATCGGCCATTCGAAGGCTTTGCGAGCCATCTCGGCCGTCTCTTTCACCCACGGCGATTGGTGGTGCCAGGTAAAGGCCTTGTAGCCCCACTTGCCGTAGACGTCATTGCCAGTCCACGAAATGAAAATGTCAAACCCTTCCGGGTGACGAGGCTCATGCTTC